TCCTCCAGGAAGCCCTCCTGACCACATCGTCTCACTGTCTCATTTACATTGCTGTCCCCATCACTTGTCACATGGCCTTAGGGACACCTGCTCCTGAGCCCCCAGTCCATCAGACTCTGAGTGCCTGGGAGTGAGTCCCTCTTAGAAATAGGCTGATAAACCAGAGGCTGGCGTCAGGTGAGGTTGTGGTACAGGGCAAGAGACCCCAGGAAAGTCTGGCATCTGAAGTGTCACCGAGGGCCCCTGGGGACCTGGAATCTAGAGCTGGACTCACAACTTGCCTGAGGATCCTGTGAAGCCCAAGACGCTTCCTCTGAGATACCTGGGGCCTGATTCCAGGGGCCAGAGCCCATCAGGACAGAGACGGATCTACACCACCCAGGGAGTGGGGGGGGCTGAGTCAGGGCCCAGGGTCGTGCTCTCCATCTCTGGGTCTCTGTTTCTCTCAGTCTACGTGTCTGTCCCTGAATCGACCCCTCTACAGTCTCCTGTATTCTTCTTCTTTTCTTTTGTCCTCTTTGTCACTCTGACCCTCTGTCTCTTTCTCCTCAGAATCCACAACCCTGGGGAATGGCTCATCTCTTTCTGTCCTGGAGGGTCAATCTCTGCATCTGCTCTGTGTCGTCGACAGCCGTCCCCCTGCCAGGCTGAGCTGGTCCTGGGGGAACCTGACCCTGTATCCCCCGCAGACCGTGGACCCTGGGGTGCTGGAGCTGTCTGCAGAGCACCTCAGGGGGGGAGGGGAATTCACCTGCCGTGCTCAGAACCCTCTGGGCTCCCAGCACATCTCCCTGAGCCTGTCACTGCAGAGTGAGTGTCACAGTGGGCTGCTCACCCGACCACAGGCCAGGAAGGACCTGCGGGTCCCAGGCCTCTGAGCAAATGCCCAGCAGGGGGTATGAGGGTCCTCTGCTCAGCCTCAAGTCAGCTGTGAGGCTGGACAGTGCTTGGGGTCCAGAGGCCTGTTCAGTCAGGGCCTGGGGGGCGGCCTGGGCTGATGGCCCCACACTAGGGATGGAGGAGGCCTGGAGGAGCCCTGTCCATGGCCTCAGGTGGGAGGAGGGCCCTGGGTTGTGGATTAGCAGGTGACTCTGGCCTCGTCCACTTTTCTGCAGGGAGGTCAGGGCCCATGGCCCAGGTGGTCCTGGTGGCCATCTGGGAGGTGGCTGTCAAGATCCTGCTCCTCGGCCTCTGCCTCATCTTGCTCAGGTCAGCACTGCCCAGGGGTGGAGAGGAGGTGTGGGCAGGGCAGGCATCTGGCGCTGAATCCCAGAGTCCAGCAAAGGGGACTCAATGTGGTCAAGAGCACTGGTGCCTGGCAGGGGCTAGTGGGTGCTGAGGACTCTGCCTGGGCCATGGGCCTTTGCTGTGTGTCCCCAGTTCTGGCCCAACATTGGGGAAGCAGGTGTCAGCTAGGAGGTCTTCAATCAGGCCTCCTCAGCCTCCCTCAGTCACCTCCAGCCCCTGTCAGGGCACAGGGCAGGGACCACTGCCCGCTGTACCCAAGCTGCCCCCTAAGGCCCTGGTCTCTTCCCTCAGAGTGAGGTCCTGCAGGAAGAGGGCAGAAAGGCCAGCTATGGGCGAGGAGCTTGGAAACACTGTCACCAGTTAGTCTCAGGTCAGTGACACGGTCTCCGCATCCCACATGATCAGGGACCCCCCTCTCTTCAAGGCCCCAGGTTGGCCACCTCCCCTTGGCTGCAGGTGAGCTGCC